GTAAGCCAATTGTTGAGGTATTCATTTTTTTTTTTTTGATAAAATTCAAAGTGCCCACAACTTCGCTATTAGTTGAATATCAAAGTTTGAATTTTAACTTCAAGTTACTCTAGAATAGTGCATTATTTGCTATGAATTTCAAAATTTTCGGAGCTTCTCCACAGGAGATATGAGATGTTAAAAATGGGCGATTTCGGGCCGAAGAGCAAAATTTGGAAGCTCCTGGAAAACAGGTACGGTGTTCAAAACTATGTGATTATATTCTTCATGTAGGAGAAAACAAAGGGTAGAAACCATAGATCTGATACTTTCCCCCTCCCATTGGTTTCTGAAGGTCAAAAATAGCGTTTCTCCCAAAATCGATAGGTAAGTTTCGAGCTTAATTAGACCTAGAGAAAGTGAGTTGAGTGAAACCTTATAAAAATATGATTTGTTGTCCATATCATGAGGAACAAATGTGTTTCTTATTGGGGTCTCTAGCTTCAACAGTTATCGAGATATGGGAGATAACGCAAACCTCCATTTCAGGCGAAAACGCGTTTTTTTTTTCACATTATAGAAACTTCCCTATTAGTTGGATATCAAAGTTGTAATTTTAACTCCACGTTAGTCTGGAATAGAGAATTATTTGCTATGAATTTAAAATTTTTCGGAGCTTCCCCACCGGAGATGTGAGACATTAAAAATGGCCGATTTTGGGCCCAGGGCAAAGTTTGGAAGCTCCTGGAAAATAGGTTCGGTGTTCAAAACTATGTGATTATATTCTTCATATAGGAGAAAACAAAGGGTAGAAACCACAGATCTGATACTTTCCCCCTCCCATTGGTTTCTGAAGGTCAAAAATAGCGTTTCTCCCAAAATCGATAGGTAAGTTTCAAGCTTAATTACACCTAGAGGAAGTGAGTTGAGTAAAACCTTATAATAATATGATTTGTTGTCCATATCATGGGGAACAAGTTGGTGTTTCATTGGAGTCTCTAGCTTAAATAGTTATCGAGATACAGAAGATAACGCAAACCCCCATTTGAGCTGAAAACGCGTTCCTTCGCATTATAAAAACGGCTGTACCGGGAGAACCGAGCAGATCACAATTTTTTTAACATTTTTTTTGAGGTGTGAAGATATGTAGAAATAAGTGTATGCAAATTTTGAATTTTTTTAAAAATGGTGAGTGACCTCTCTGGTTGATTTCACATGGAATGACCCGTGTGTAATAAAAGCAACAAAAGACAAATATACAAACTGTGCTGTGGACTTCAGTGAGGCTACAGATGATGTTTATAGGAAGCAATCAGCTTATCCCTTATTTTATAACTTGTTCCTGGTACTCTGACAAGAATCCTATGACGGCCTTTATGAACTTGATGCAGTTCGGTATCATAAAAACTCCGATCAGGGTACACCAAACTGTTAAAAATCTTAATAGGATCAGAGACTACACCGTCATCTTAACCTAGCGTGTACAGCCGTTGCCTTGCAGTAAGCGAATAAACAACGAAGTTATGCAGCCGTTTCTAGGCAGTGGATCGGTAAACACGTTGCAGTGACAAGGATATGCACACAATAATAGAGTTAATGTTGGAAACGGTGTTTTCTACTCGGTCCGTGCAAAGTGGTTATAAGGAAGATAACTGGGGCCACCCAGTTAGTTGTCTGTTGAAAGTTAGCCTGTGAAGAGAAGACTAGGGGATTGGTGTCAAACGGCGGCCAGTCTGGGGGTTAGTTTATTGAAAGTCGAGTTCTGCACGGGAGACTGTGAAGATAGAACCTGTGCGCGTTAATGTGAGGAATCTCCACTGTGAGATGCTGTTGCCAGGGAACGGCTGAAGATATAGCAAGTTGGTAAAAGGCTTAGTGGGTCCTGTGGTGATTTGTAAAATGTGGAGATTAGCGATAGCGCTGTAATTACTTGTAGTTCAGAGTGGTATGTATAAGTGGTCAATAAATCCATTCACCAATCCATACCCCGTCTATAGTCACACCACTAAATCGTGACAGTACTATACCTTCCTGGGTTTTACAAGTGGAGGCTTTTCAAGAAACTTTACTGCCAAATGTCCATGTTAAATGACCAGCACATCATAACTTGCTCAATCTAACTACAAGCCGTCTAGATCGGCTCTGGGGTCCATACAATCTCCAATCTAATGTAAGTACCGGCCTCTTTCCCCGGGAATAAAGCAGCCGGTGCCCGAAGCTTACCACTCACCTCCAAACAGTGCCGAGGTCAAGTGAATGTTGGATTTATACATCCACTGCTCCATACGCCTTCATGCCGTAATGTTTAATTAGTTAAGTACAAGGACAACTTTACCTTTACCTAACCCGTGGACGCTACAGTCCATGATAAACCTTGGCCTCTCTTTTACAGTTTGCCAATCATAGAAAATCAGTAGGACTCCTTGAACTGGGAATCAGCCAGCCTCAAGGCCGCTACCTACACAGGACAACACAAACACAGAATAAACGCGAGCATCCACGTCGCGTGTTGGATTCGAACCCAAGACACCAGTGTTTGAGCGGATGAAGACAGTTCACGCTTTAGACCGGGCGGCCACTGTGATCGACTACTCGATTTAACTACTCTAGCCATATTAGGGTAGGAGCATAAATTACAGTCTTGCTTGCTACATGACAACCTCAGCTGGCCACCTGCTTCATTCTTCTCAGGTCCAAATGTATTCCTGCGCATATTCTTTGCAACACCGGCAGGCGTAATTCAGGTTCATAATTCAGAGTAAAAGACTATGTTTCACAACCACAACAATGCAAGACAACTATCAACATAATATGTCAAGTTTGTTGGTATTTTTGGTGTAACACAGGCCTCTGTCCTCCAGGTTGGGGGTTGGAGGCAAGGCTGAGGAGCTTGTTCTGTACAAAAATATTGTTGTGTAATCCAAAGAAGTGAAAGCCGGGTGCAATCTGAGAGAACATTTTAAGGAAGGCTACGGCTCCAAAATGCCTGTTTTTCCAATTGTGGTGGTGCTGACGCTGTTGATGATGATGATAGACTTATGTAGCTACGTTCTAAATAGATCATCTTGCGTAGCGTTGAATGGGAGGCATATTAACTGGCATACAAACTTATGTTTAAAAAAACTTTATTATTTTAATTCTAATATATTTCGGCCGTTAACGCTTACCATCGTGTTTTACCTACAACTGAGTAAAAAAAAAAGACTATACTAAAAGTGAAAATTTTGTTGAAACCTAAAAATGCATAAAAATTTCTATAGAATTGTGAATTAGGTTGGATTCGACCTCGAGTATCAAGGTTCTCCGACCCGAGAAAGACTGCGCTGGCAAGGACCAGCAGCATATACAAAAGAAGGACCCGTCCTCTCGTCAGAGAGGGCGCCCACAATAAACAAGACCGTAACTGTCAAAGAATAATACAGATCTGGTCGCAAGCCCCAGACGGGTGCTTTATGCCAAGGCAGACTGGCCGACTGACTGTCGGTCGTAAAATGAGACTCAGACTCAAGACACATGTTGTAAAAACAAAGTAAAGGTATCCCTGTAACAGGCCGTGGGGGCCCATAGGGTTGTGAGATGTTGAGGTTCCCACATTTTCTAGACAATCTGCTCACAGATGGCGGCAAGGTTGTCAGCCCTACACGCCGGTCGCCCTTTACTCCTAAGAATATTCCAGGAATATTCCTGGGACTCATTTCTGTTAGAGGCTGAGTCGACCCCAGGGCCACAGTGCGGCTGGAAGGATTAGGTCAATTGAAGAAAATCCAATGACCTCATCGCGATTTGAACCCGCGACCTTCCGGCTTGTAGCATAGTGCCTCAACCAACTACGCTACCGTGTGCCCCTACTTCATGTTGCAAGTTATCTGAATATTTGGAATAGCCATTTTGATGATTTCCTGTTTGGTGAACAACCCGGACAGATTAATAGGCCTGCAGTAGTGTCTCCTTGAGGTAGCGATCGATGTGTTGACGTAGTAACATGTATATCCCCGAAGACTGGCTGCATAATAAGATGTGTGTTTGTCTGGAGTACTGATGTAGTGAATGAAGCGATCTCAGAAATACTGTTGAAATACCGCTGCTGGGGTCAATTAAAATTTGTTCTATAAATGTTTGTAGATCCCTTGTTCTCAACATTGTCAATATCCGTCCAGTCATAGCATAATTATTTCTTGCGGACGGACACAGCACACAAGTGTACATAAATATTATAAATCCTGTTACGCATACGGGGGCACGCGGTAGCGTAGTTCGTTGAGGCACTATGCTATAAGCCGGAAGGTCGCGGGTTCAAGTCCCGATGAGTTCATTGGATTTTTTCAATGTATCTAATCCTTCCAGCCGCTCTATGACCCTGGGGTCGATTCATCCTCTAATGGAAATGGGTACCAGGAGTATTCTTGGAATAGTCTTGGAGGTAAAGGGCGGCCGGCGCGTAAGGCTGACAACCTTACCGCCATCTATGAGCCGATTGTCTAGAAAATGTGGGAACCTCAACATCTCACAACCCTATGGGCCTCCACGGCCTGTTACAGGGATTACTTTACTGTACTTCACTGTTGCGCATACACCTAAAATCATTTCGGAAAAATATATTGGCATTAAGAAGTTACATGTTCTATTAGTCTTTAATATGTGAAGAATCGAAACCATCGTTTTGGATTAAAATATAAATAACAGCGAATTCTTACATCCGTTATGGCATTTAAAGATATTCAGATTATTCCATATGATAGTTTATTACAATGGAAGTAGAGGATAACCCTGCAATTCTCCTGGCATAAGCCACTGCTCGTCGAGAGGGAGTAAAACAAGCCACTCTTAAATGCTGACACTGTTGGCACCTTCGAATTGTTCTAATTTCTGTTTTGTTTCTCTTGCGAAATCTCCTTACGGCTTAATGAAAGACGGCAATTAGGTCGTAGCGAACTGAGGAGGCCAGCAATATTAGTTTGTTTCGCGCACGCTAAATATAATACGGAACACATGAGTACACCTAAAGTAGTTGGGCGCGCGGTTTCACAATATACTGAATGTGGCGGCGTTTGTGACTGCTTGACTTACTTCGCCGAGCTCAAAGAAAATCAGACTGACATCTGTTCTAAGCGTTCTAAAGGGGGATAGACTGAAGTAGGCATATCAGACTCTGAGAGGCTACGCGCTTGCGTTCGACGCCTTTTAAAACATCCGAAAATACTGGGAAGTCGAACAAGTATATGTTGCTAGTCGCTGCTTGCTTCTCGCATGAACGTGGTACGCCCCCTACTCGAGCTCCTGTGTTGCTGGAGAGTGATTGTACCTGTTCTTCCCGGTCTTGAAGGTAGGGTGCCAAGTGACCTGAGAAAGTTCGTATTGGTGTTTGTTGATTGCTCTGTAGTTCAGTTCTCGGCTTATGTGTGCGCCTGTGACGAAGAACGAGTTATGATCGAACAGAATATTTGTTGTCGACTTCTTAGGCTCTTGAAATTTCAGTCGGATTTTGAAATTTCATTATAAGAGCCCTTGACAAATATTAACTCATTCTGATTTGGGCTGTGTCAGCCTACTTAAAAGTATGAATGTCTCTTTAAATTTATGTCGAATTTAAAAATACTTTAAACAGAGCGTAACAAAGATAATATTTCGTGATTAAGCCTGCATATCTTTCATATGATGAATGTTTCCTAAGAAACTTCATAAACATTTGTTCTAGGTGTGACGGCTAATATTGATGGGCAGTGTAAAGTAAAAAAAAGTAAAGGTATCCCTGTAACAGGCCGTGGAGGCCCATAGGGTTGTGAGATGTTCAGGTTCCCACATTTTCTAGACAATCGGCTCATAGATGGCGGCAAGGTTGTCAGCCCTGCACGCCGGCCGCCCTTTACCCTAGCACATTCCTAGAATATTCCTGGTACTCATTTCTGTTAGAGGCTGAGTCGACCCCAGGTCCAGTGTGCGGCTGGAAGGATTAGGTAAATTTAAAAAAAATCCAGTGACCTCATCAGGACTTGAATCCGCGACCTTCCGGCTTGTAGCATAGCGCCTCAACCAACTACGCTACCGCATATCATCGATGGGTACTGTAGGTTTGTATTTCCCATTATTAATATGAGGCATACGTTTTCTGAGCTAACGACTGATACGACTACGTTACTTCTGAATAATTTGAAGTATTGCCATAAATGTCTATTAGACTAATTTCTAGGCGTTATAGGTAAATTGCAAATCATAGTGGCGATTTAAGATATTTGTGGAATGTAACTAGCGTTTGTTTGAAAATATTCCTGAGTGTTTCAAAAAGGAGGTGTAATTGAAATACATCTTGCTGAACTAGCTAAATCTCTTTCTAAATCTACACAACGTATTCCTAATGGTTCAAATTACATCAGTATGAGTATGTGTGACGGTGAAGCCTAATTTTATCAGATTCAGCGAAAGGCAACTGCTGAAATGTTCCTACAGATGTTAACACTGACCGCGCCGGTACAATATTTATAATTCAGGCGTACCTCCAAAGAAAATGAAATCGTCTCTAACGTCATCTCATAATTAAGGGAACGAAATGAAGATAAAACCAGATAAGAGTAAAGCGGTAAGTCTCACGAGAGGTAGGGTGAAGGATCGTCTGATGTATTATTTTGGAGACAAAATAATTCCGGAGGTAAATAGCTTTAAGTTCCCAGGAATAATCATACGGAGCGATCTAAGATGGGCAGATCATGTAAAATATATACTACGAAAAGAATGGAAGGCTCTTCATTTAATAATGCGTATACAGAAACGGTAATAACAACACGAAACGTGTAGCCTATACGTCACTAGTGAGACTGATACTTGAATATGGTTCGGTATGCTGGGGCCCATACAGAGGATGGCAGGTTAGCGCTTTAGATCGGGTACAAAGAAGAGCGGCTAAATTTGCCAATCCTACAGATGAATTTGGCTGGGAAACTCTGGCACAGCGTAGACTGATAGCCCGTCTGTGCGCCCTCTACAAGGCGTACACCAGGAGACCAGTTTGGAGAGCGATAGGGGATAGCCTGCTTAAACCATGCTGCCTGAGTAGGGACAAGCACTGTTGTAAAGTTAGAAGCAGGAAACAAAGAACAGATGTTGACAAATATTCCTTTGTAAATAGGACCATAAAGGATTGGAACAGTTTACCTGCAGGCATACTAGCGTCTTTCGCCTGTAAACTAAACACTTTTAGAAAGAGGGTTAGGAAAGCTGTTGCAAGTACAGAGGCCTTAGGCTGAGCTTGAATGGAAAGAAGGGAAGTAATGTAAAGTGTCCTTGTTCGAGTGCAGTGAAACGAACACAAGCACGTTGCCCTCTTATAACTTTATATGTTTCGATTTGAACTGTGTGTACCTAATTTCTTCTGGCTTATTTTGGACTCCATCCATCGTCTGGTATGTAAAAGACAAAAGACCACGACGTTTCGGAGACTGGATCTGTCTCCGTCTTCAGGTGGGTAGGGAAGGATAAAACCTACTCAGTTGGGCCCGTTAGAAAGAGCTAGTCTCAATCACTGGACATACCAGACGATGGATGAAGTCCAAAATAATCCAGAAGAAGTACAGTATACAACATCGCAGAATCCTTTCAAGTCTATCTGTGTGCATCTTGTTTACTGTATTGTATTTTGTTTTGTATTGTTCTCTTATGTTATAGACTTTCCTTGTCTGTATCAGTGTAAGTTCTACTGCCACTGGGTGAACACCTAACTACAGTATAATAATAATAACAATACTACTACTACTACTACTACTACTACTACTACTAATAATAATAATAATAATAATAATAACTACACATTCAATATTGCAGCACAATTGAAATTTTTATATTTTATCGAAAATATTATCCAGTCAAGTGTTAAAGTGTGTCAGACCTTTCACTTTTATTTTCTACTTTCTCGTACAGAAATGTCTGTAACAATGTGTAGCTTGACAAGAATCCTCTCCTAGTGTTCCACCAATCTACACGCTTTCAGCAACTCCGAATATAGCCAGAATATATTAGAGAACAGAGCGCTGAGGAGAATATTTGGACCGATGAGAGATGAAGCGGTGGGAGGTTGACAATTGCATAACGAGCTTCATAACTTGTACTTTTTGCCCAGTATAATTAGAAAAATCAAGCCAAGAAGGATGGGATTGTAAAGCCGTGTAGCACGTGTGGGAAGAAGAGGAATGCTTATAGGGTTTTGGTAGAGAGCCAAGAGGAAAGAAACCACTAGGAAGACCTAGATATTGGTGGGAGGATAACATTAAAATGGATCGTAGAAGAATGGGATGGGGCGATGTGGACTGGATTCATCTGGCTCTGGGCAGTGGCCAGTAGAAGGTTCTTGTGAACACGGTAATGAACCTTCGGGTTTCATAAAATGGTGGGACGTACTTGAGTAGCCAAGAGACTTACAGCTTCTCATGGAGGATTCAACTCCATGGAGTCAGTGTATGTAGGAGCATGTGTGCCTCCACAGCGACTGGACGGTTTTACTGGTTTTATTCATACTCTGCAATTAAGAGCTAATTTACCATTGGTGAATATGAACATTCTAGCTCTAAAAGTAAAGACTGTTAAAATTGGCCCAAGAACTCAACATTGGAGTTTTCTCGAAAACGGCTGAAACGATTTTGGTCAAATTGTGTTAAAATATGGAGACAATTTCCCTAACTAAAACTGCTTAGCTGTTAACTTCAGAAAATTAACCGTACTCTCTCTAGTTCTGCTCCTCCATGTGTATATGAGAAAGTTTATGTAACTTTTTGCCGATTTCTTTTGTATGCAATAATTGCATACAACAGTTCGTTTCTTGGACACAGCTGACAAGCAAAATTACTTCTAATATGGTCTCCATGATGTATCGAAAATAGTAGGTCTACTGACATTGTCAGGAGTAAATCTGAACAATAAAAAATTATGCACCCTCCCCAATTTAAATTCTCCACGGCCCATAAAATTGCATTCCTTTGTCGGACTCAGCTTCCGGGATATTCCTTCATTCAACAATTAAAAGCGCCACAATTCAAATAGGACTATTATAAATACGCAAACGATTAACACTGAATTTGTGCCCCAGTGTAATCCATACTTGTAAATAGCATCACTGTCATTTACTGATAAGGATATTTAATTTTTCAGCTACGTCTGTATTTAACTTCTGATTTCAGTAAGATATAGGTTGTATGTTAAAAAAATTACAATTGTAATTGCTATTTTGTTATTTTTGCTTTTCAGATAGAAAATTTCTTGAATAAAAATATATGTTTAGACAGCGTCTATAATTTTCGAATAAATATTTTAGGCGTGAGAAACAAGTATAAACTGCCACGTGTAGAAGGGATACGAGCTAGTCTATGGCGGCTGTGAGGATCGCCAGCCATCTTGCACGTTGGGCATTGGAAGCATTTTCCGTCAAAGGCAAAAGGAAATGGTAGAATATTGTTGGCCGTAGATCCACAACTGAGGTCTGAGAAGGCAAAGTTTCACCTCCATGATCCCAATGCTCCCTAATTACTAATGGCATGGCATGGAGACCTAGGAACGCCTTACAACGTGCGCACTTCGGATGACAATAAGGAACAAGAGATCACTGAGGTCGCGGTGCAAGGGCCAAGAAGGCCCACCCCTTATACATTCATAGGATGATAATACCTACGCCCTTTGTCTTCCATGATTAATTGCTGATAAGGTTCGTCTTAACGGTTAAAACATAATTGTATCATTACATAACGCAATACCATTCAGGACTGTTACTTAGATCCTCAAATTAAATCAACAATTTTCCATTCAAATTCATTATTCACTGATGCACAATAGGTGAACCTACGTGTACTAGACAATAGCGAAACTACACTGAAGAGATACACTGTCCTAACTCTACTATACAGATCTGTGTAAAACCCAAATACAAGAATTCAGATGATACCTAAGTGAACAGAAAAAAAGAGTATATGAGCTATGCCACTGGGCATAAATCATTCACGAGCCAATACTCATTGAGCATATACATTTATTGCAGACACTGGAGATTATGCGTGATAAATGTGTGAAAAAATTAATTATTAACCTAACAGTCAAATTTGGGTTTCAATCATAATACAATTTGTACAAGTTTGTTTAGTTTAATTTTGCTTCTATGTGTAAGAATGCTAAACGTTTTAAGCAAGAATATATTTGTCTATAAGCTCAAAAACCAGATTAGCTAGTGCCATTTACTAAAACACATACTTGGCACTTACAGGCGTCTGCCTTTACGGTGTTGGTGTAAATCTTCGATCATCCTAGTAGCTAATTATCTCCGGGAACACGAAGTCTCCGTTTACATTCTATTACCCTCCCAATGAGAATTCTTGTATTTCAGTAAATATTCTCCTTATTTTTTTATTGCTAGTGGGGTGGGACTAAGTCCCTTGTACTGCGGCACTTCTGGCCTATTGTATCAGCCCCAGATGATAGGTGAGGGTGATTGTGGAGCAATTGGTGGAATGAAGATTGGCGCGGGAAACTGAAGTACTCGGAGAAAACCTGCCCCACCGCCACTTTGTCCACCACAAATCCCACTTGACCAGACCCGGGATCGAACCCGGGCCGCCTCAATGGGAAGTCAGCGACTAACCGCTTGAGCTATGGCGCGGCCAAAATATTCTCCTTAATGTTCATTCACTTTTCATTATCATTTTCCTATTACTCCAAAACCCAACTCCTATTATTCCTTCTAAAGAGGCAATATTTCTGAATTCTAGTTTCTTAGAATTTTATCAAAATGAAAATACGAACTATTCGTATGAAGCACATAATGTTGCCTTCATATGCAGTGAATCCTTGGACGCAACTAACTCCATGGATCAAAGTCTTTCTCGAAAAGCTGATAGTCGTTTATAAAGTCAATAAATTTCGTGCCTTCTACGTAACCCGAAAGTTCATTTCCGCTTTCACAGAATCCCAACTCTAGTCCATAATTCTCATCCAGTGGAATCCATTCCTCACCATCAGGCCTATTTCTTAAATCAACTTTAATAGTGGCTCCTATCCACGCCTATTTCGCCAAAGCAGACTTTCAATTCAGTTTCTTTTTAGACTTTATAGACCATGTATTTCTAATTTTCTCGTGCATTCTATATGCCCCGCCCATGTCATCTTCCTTGATTTTATTACTCTAAAAATATTTGGTGAATATAAAGCATTAAGCTACACCTCCTGTTACTTTGCCTTTTTAGATTAAAATACATGCTATCATCGTCATCACTGTCAATATTTCCGCACTAACGGGTGTCCCAAGTAACTTCGGAAATATACCGCCATATTATCCACAATGCTAGTTCTGCCAACTGCACAAGGTTATTCGTAAAAATATTACCCAAAGCTTAATCTTAGATGGTCTTTAGAAATTTATTTTTAAAAACAAAACAAAAAGCCCAACCGTTTCGAAACGGAACCAAAGGTCTAAAGTTTTAAAAGCAAAAGCCCAATTTTGTGGGCTAGTTCTTGGAATTAAATTCTAATGTTAAGCTTTAGATCTTGTTCCTAAAAATAAAATTCTAACTTTCGCAACGCTAACGTGGCTGTAAATTCTGAAGTTACTTGGTTCACTCTTCTCTTAGAGTGAGAGATTACGTTTCATACTTATACAAGACTACGGGTACCATGTACGCGTTTTAATTGGAATATTCTTTGCTCAGGTACCAAGATCTGGTAAACCCAGGAGAAAAAATAAACCGTCCATGGCCCCTGCACCTTCGACTAAACTTCCGTACGGGGAAGAAGAAAAGCGATCCGAGTCGCAAGGAGATGAAGACATTACAGGACAAGCACTGGATGTGGTGACAGACTTCAGTGCACACGTTGCCAGAAATGCCTCCCTCCAAAATTATAACTTCAAGGAGGGTGGAAACGTAACGGAAGACGCGCTGGGACGCATTTCTCGAGCCTTCTACGACCAAGACCGGCTTGCTGCAGACAACTATCTCTATCCGAATGGAATCTGGGGTTCCACTAACATGACTAACTTCTCATCGCTAGACGAAAACGATTACAGTGGTCAAATGCCTCCATCCATGTCGCGTTTACACGAGTTCCAGATCATCAAAGCTGTTGTGCTGGCTGCCGTTACAGTGGTTATTCTTATCTCTATATGCAAGATGGTGTTCCAGCTGTTTGTGCGGTACACAGTGAAACACGACAAATGACGTCAGCTCAGTACGCTACGTATGGAAACTTTTTACGGGAAGTCACGAAATTACAATCATCTGATTTTTTATTAAATGAATCTTGCCTATAAGACATGGCCTGTATATGAAATCGTAGACTGTACATGGAAATCGTTCATGCGTCACAAGAAAAAAGGTCGGCTATCAATGTGTTTTAATCATGTGAAGAGCGTCGTGTGGGCATACTGTTTATGTAGCATCTTTCGATTTCTGAATACTGGATTAACATTTCTAAACGCCTGTCATCGACAAAATTACGAAGAGGGCCTTTACATAATTACATAAAAAACTACTACTAGCTCAGAATATTCTAATGAAAAGTTCCATTTAGATCGCTAAATGTTCACCAAACATTAAAAATAGTTCAGAAAGATATTCATCTCTCTTTTATAAATACTGTACGTTTTGACATTTTTCAAGCAAGTATTCGCTTAGAGATATTTTATATAACTGCAACAGAACGTGAAGAAACATGTGGACATACATTATTTCAGAATTTCAATTACTGTCTCCCTCCCTCTTGGAAAAAAACGCAGTCTGATTGCAATAAACTGTAATTTCCCAAACATTTATTTCCGAGAAACAAATTAAATTTAAAATTTATTGTGCCTTAAAACACATATAATATTTCTTCCTATACGACAAGCTAGGCTCTTCAAACACGAAACACACATTCTTATTGTAGCACGTTTTTGTTCCCGCGCCCAGACACTGCTGCTAAGAGATGGGGGTGGGGCAAGGGCCTAACTTGGCTCACACTCTGTTAAAAAAACTTACGGTGAAGTCTCTAGATGCTGAAAAGACAATAAAATAGACATAAATGTGGAAAAAACACATCTTCCCATCACGGCGGCCTGGGGTCGATCCCAGGTCAGGTCGTGTGAAACTTGTGATCAACAAAGCGGCACCAGGGCAGGTTTCTCCAAATACTTCGGTTTCCATCTACGAGGTCTCGTTCCACCGACTGCTCCATATTCATTAATCATCCCATCAACGAAGCTATGCAGTCTCAATTAACTTCGTTAAAGAACAAAATTAAAACTGAAACTACAGCAATAACGAAACGACATTTTCATGTCGGTGATAAGCCCCGTGGATTCCGAGAAATCGCTCATTCAAAATATCTAAAACAAAGTATCTTAAATTATTTATGCGTATAAATGTAAACTGTGAAAATGTAATAATATTTATGGATTCCATCACAGTGAAAATTCACATTATGGTCTTCTTGGTTAAGAGACTGTGCAGAATAAGTGGGTGCCAGTGATTCAGAGGAATGCACTGTCTACATGTTCAGGGCTGATATATAACCAATTGAATACCTGGATCTCGAACAACCTCTCGCCGCTGTCCGAACTGATATAATAAAGATAAATTCCATGTATTTGTAACACCTAGCATAGTCTAGGTTTATATTTTCTCGCGAGTCTCCTAAAATAATACTCTGTTTAATTCGGTCTACCAGCTGATGCCTTCAAAACCTAGCACACACCTGGGCCCTTAAATCGATCATCCATAAAGCAATTACGACCCCAGTACACAATAGTTGCGTTATTCTTCAAGGTACAATTCGGAATGAAGTCACGTTTCACTCTAATAGAATCCTAACTGAAAAGGAGGGCAAACAGGTTCACATTTAAATATAATCTCCTGCTGTATACACTTACACTGTATACTTGTTACTTCCTTAATTTCCGAAACTCTTTTTCAATAATTTTCTACTTTATAAATTACCGTATTTACGCATGTATAGGCCGCACATTTTTTGCCAAAAATTCAAGAGGAAAACTGGGGTGCGGCTTATATTCGAAATCACACTTCATTTAAAAAAAATATATTCATAATTAGTAATACAGGGTGTAATACTCCTGAAATAATATTCCAAGAAAATTATTTTGTCTATAATTTGTCTGAAAATTGTGCTGCGGCCTATACACGCACGCGGCCTATACATGCGTAAATACGGTAATATTTCCAGAGCAGTCCATGGTTGATAATGATAGTGGGCAATTTAAAGTGAACAATTCATTTTTGATAATTGGCAGGCAGGACTGTCACGTAGAAGGTGGGGCGGGGGATTAAGGAGGTGCGAGAGCACCGGCAGCACGAGTTACAATCCAGCGCAGTCAGTTCCTACAGAAACGGGCAGTATCAGACACTGTGACTCAACATTGATGGTAGAACCGAGACTTGCAAATGGACTGGTATAAACATGTCGGTATACATATTGTATAGCAGAATTAGTGACTTATGAAAAAAAGCTTAAGCAACAGCAGGCGAACTGAACTTGCTCTTGAAATGCACCTCGACCGCTGTGTGACGCCCGTCTCCTAAACCAATGAATCTCATATGAGGTCACCTAAGCCCGCCGCTATTTATAAAACGTCAAACCATATGAGATATGGGGGCATGTTTTAGACTTTTTCAGCATTGCCTAGTAGCTAAATATGTATTTTATATGACCAATGGTTGAAGCTCATTTAAACCATAATAAATACTATTTGAAACCGAATGTGGGCAAGGTATAGATTCCCGCTTAAACCTGTAGCCCTGAGAATCAAAGTAACCATCTCTGTATGGCGCAAACAGCCTGTAAGCAGGCAGTATAATTTCAAGGAAAATTCAAATTAGTTCCTTCGCATGATTTAATTATACTATGGAATTCATATTAATTAACCTTCTCCACAAACGCAAAAAAATCATATAATGTAAGCTACATTTACAGAAATAAACACGTGTTAAAGACAGATAATTCATGTTATGTACCATAGGACTCACATGCACATACTTCAGTACTGTTATGCTCAAAAATTGCCAATAAACAAAATGCATTTCCAGGATTTAACAACATTGTACAAGGAAACGATGTATTCCTAACACATGCGTCCCGCAGACAGAATTACACGAGACATGCTAGGTCCATGCTATTCAGTCACTTTTAAGAAAAGAAAGGGTAGTTAATCTGAGAAAGTGAAGTCGTGTTCTGGGATTCAAGGGGCATCATATGTTAACCAAACAGAACTATTAAACCTACGATAAACTATCCCCTTATAAAAACAGACATTAAATTCACGTGCAATAAGTCAGTCTAAGTTGACGTATTCCATTTGAAGAGAAGTCAAAACTATAGGACTATACTGAATAAATGGAGAATCAATATTAAGGCGTCATATTTCCTGCTGCTACATACCCTAAGAGAAAATTAGGCCTAAATATACAACACATGTTTAATATATGTCTCAAAGTCGTATTGTGATAAAATACTGCATCAAAATAATAAAGCGATATAGATTTCAATGTAATAAAATCTAAATTAAGAATTGATCTGATTTTATTCTCTTTATTCCGATATTTTGATGAAACAATTGAATAATTTTTCTTATCAATTGGCTTGCTATGAATGAGCATAAGACTTATGCATAATGATTAATAATATTTCGCTTAAGTATGTATATATGAATAAAGTTCTAAATTTATACGGGAGGAGCTTCGTTTAAGAGACTTGGATAATCTTCAAGTATATTCGGGGGACCATAAATGATTACTGAATATGCACGTCCGAAATTAAGTGCATAGCGTCCATTTTCTTTATCTCGAAAACCGAAAAACATATAGAAAAATTGTATCGAACATAAAATGTGTGTTTCGTTTCTCTCAATGTTGTTTGAAGCACATTTTACGCCGATAAATATGAACGTACACGTATTAAACCCGCTTGGTACCAGAAATCACGTATGTACAATATCACCTGATTTCCACCTTCACGTGCCAATTCGGAAAACAAAATCCGAAAATCATGTACACTATTTGTTAGCTGACGTTTTATGATCTATCTGTACTAAGCAAGTGGTCTTATAAGCCGGCTCGTTGTTCATATCAAGCAGCCATCTCTTTAAAACGCCTGTTACCGCTTCTAAGGTTATCATTTATATAACTTAGAGACAAGGGGGCACATCAGCTGTTGGTCTACGCCGATGATGTGAATCTACTATGTGATGATATATATATATATACCATAAAGAAAAACACAAACTTTAATTGACGCAAGTAAGGAGATTGGTCTAGAAGTAAACACTGAGAAAACTAAGTATATGTTGTTGTCTCGTCACCAAAATGCAGGACAAAATCATGACATAAAGATAGGTAACAGATGTTTTGAAAATTTGGCACAGCTCAGATATTTGGGAACGACTATAACAAATGAAAACCTGATTCAGGAGGTAATTAAGAGGAGACTGAATTCGCGTATTGCCTGCTACCCTTCTGTCCGAACCGTTTGTCTTCTCGTCTTCTGTCAAAAATATAAAATTATAATATATAAAACTATAATTTTGCCTGTAGTTCTATATGGGTGTGACTCTTGCGAGGAACATAGAATCAGGGTGTTGAGAACAGGTGTTGAGGAGAATATTCGGACCGACGAGAGATGAAGTGACAGGAGGCTGGAGAAAACTGCATAATGAGGAACTTCATAACTTGTATTCTTCTCCAAGTATAATTAGTATGATCAAGTCAAGGAGGATGAGGTGGGCAAGGCAGGTAGCTTGGATAGGGGAGAAGACGAATGCATATAGGGCACTGGTGGGAAAGTCAGAAGGAAAGAGACCACTGGGAAGACCATGGCGTAGGTGGGTGGACAATATTAAAATGGATCTTAGACAGATAAGATGGGATGGTATGGATTGGATTGATCTGACTCAGGATAGTGACCAGTGGATGGCTGTTCTGAAACGGTAATGAACCTCCGGGTTCCATAAAATGCTGGGAAATTCTTGAGTAGCTGCACAATCGGCGGCTTCTCAAGAAGGGCTCAGCTCTTATGAGTGGGTGAGTGAGTGCGTGAAAGACAAAGGGGTATATTCTGAGTGAACGATTCGATTACAGGAGTAGTTAGGTGGGTACGCTTACAAGAAAGACGTAGTTGTTTATTATTAACTTGCGGGCGCGCGGGCAGTCTGAACATAAAGAGATCCCGAAGGCCAGTTTACATAGTTGAATGATTACTTCTAAGCACATGTGTGTATGTGAAAAACTGTTATTTGCTTACGGATTCTGAGCCAACAAACCGATCGTAAAATTACAACATAAAGAAATTTAAAATATTAAACATGTTAATAACAGATTTACAATTACTGATGAATAACAATTGGATAATTACGAATATCAATATCAAATGTACGGTTTTCGTATGTGGGATGCAAGGGGATCATATCGTATCTACATTGCACAATGATGGTTTAAGCATTACTCTGTCTTGCTGAGCTTGGGGATAAAATGGTGAAATCTGAGAAATTTCATGCTGCTTGCATCCAGTGTTGTGTGGCGGAAGTACGACCTTCAGTGTTAAGTGTTTCCGTCAAAATGTCGACACACACACAGCAAGTACAATACTTCTTTTGGTGCTGAAATGCATCGATGGCTGTCTGCAGTATTGTGTAGTATCTTGCTTTAGAGGTGCTAGAATTGTGTGCGCGTCTCTGGGAGTCTACCTGTATTCCTGACAATGATAAGAATTTATGCTAAAACTGAAGTACCATTCGCTTCTCTCTTGAACTAAAATATTTGC